GCTTTTTAATATTAATCAAATTAAGTGGTTAGTGCAAGTTATGGTGACATCACTTAAGTCGATAGAGTCTTACTCTCCTCTCATCTCCTCTCTGCTCTTCTCTCTCCTGTCTATATATATATAGTAATCATATATATATATATCATATATATATATATATATATATATATATATTATATATATATATATAGTATATATATATATAATATATATATATATAACCCTAATGTTGTAAAATTATCATCAAACTAGAATGTGTGGTAGCCCACAACATTAACAAGTTGGGCTCCATGGTCATCTACAGGTCATGCGCTCCTCAAACATCAAAAAAGATTTACGTTGGTTCTAAGTGAGACCCTAATCTTGTAAAATTATCTTCAAACTAGAATGTGTGGTAGCCCACAACATTAACAAGTTGGACTTCATGGTCATCTACAGGCCGGTCATGCGCTCCTCATACATCAAAAAGATTTATATATGTTGGTTCTTTGATGGGATAGTGAAGTTTGCTTCAACAAGGAGAAATTTTAGTTCCTTATCTTTATTTTGATGCACAGTCAAGATCACAACTGTTAGCATCCGAGCACTTTAACTCAAAAAATTTCAGTAATATTTGATGGGATCACACCAACTTAGCTTTGTCTGTTCATGAAGTTACATCAGTTGTCAATGAAGTTATATTCGTAAATATTTGGATAAGTTTGATGGATAAAAGTAGGATGCATTAAATTAATATTCATTAATTATATGCACATTTCTATCATACGATATTCATGCTATTAGGAGTATCCCACATCCATTTAGGGGCTGTTTGTTTTACCAAGGACTAGGAATAGGATTAGGAATCCTATTTAATTTATGGATTCCAACCTAATCCATAAAAATTTTATGGACAAGTTTGAGTTTTATGGAATCCCACTTTTTTTGGCTTTTAATGTTTGTTTCACCCAAAGGATTAGTAATCTCACTTTTATAAAATTGGTCCAATTCCTAATACCATGTTTGGTTCAAGAAGAATATTTTTCTTGGGATCGTTACTGTAGCAATGACCATCTCAATTTTAATTTAAAAAAATACTGTAGCAACGGATTTAAGCCCCCAAAATCATATTTCCAGCAGCAAACATTGTAACAAAATTTACATATCACTGTAGCAACGGATTTAAGGCTCAAAAATCAGATTTTCAAGCAGCAAACACTGTAGCAACGGCCATTTCTTATACAAATCACTGTAGCAACGTCTATTTTAGGGGCATGGTGGCTATAAATTCACCTTGAGGCCTCACAAATAATCCCATCATTCTCATTTTTCAACAATAATAAAATTCCCAAGCTCTTCAATTTGCTGCCCCGACATCAAGGATGATATCAGAAGAGTGCTGGCAGAATTATGAAGTTTATTGCGACTGCAATCTCCGAACACCGATGAAAGTGTGCAAGAATGGAAAAAATAAGGGTAGGTGTTATTGGGGGTGTGCAAAATTCCCAAATAAAGAATGCAATTTTTTCGTATGGGCTGAAGAAAGAGGAGAGTCATCAAGCACCCAAGGAAGCCAATATGTCAAAGAAAATAGGTACGGAGATAAATATATCTTGCAATCAAAGAAGCTGAACAAAGAATTGAGACTTGTCGAAAATCAACTACTAGCTTGGAAAATTTCTGCAATTTCCTTAGCAATTTTTTGTGTTATTTTAATTATTACAAACTTCATGTCATGTACTTGTAATTGCAAAAACTATTGAGGATGTAATGCAAACTGTTGTTTGAATTGGGTACAAATTCTAATTGATATTGTATGGCTCAGTAATAGATCAACTTGTCATCATTGATTGCCCTACCTATAACTTACATGTTTATTACAGATTGCATTATAAGGATGAATTGCCTCGCCTAGACATTGTCAATTCAATGTAGGCTGCAATCTCATCCCCTCTTGCCTCATCTGGATATAATAAACGATGTAAGTTAGATTGCATTCTCAGTAAACGCTGATCATCATCATTGCCATATATCAACTGCAAGGAGCTGCACAAGCTCAAAACTAAACAGCAAGTAACCCACAGGCTCGGAAAAACAAAACAGCAGCATGGTGAGAATGTATGATGGGGAAAAACAAGCAACAAACCCCAGCTCCTGCAAGTACAAATCCAGCAACAAAACAGCAACAAACCTAGCAGCAGCAGGAGCTGCCAAACTGAGGAAAAACAGGCGCAAACCCCAGCTAGCAAGGAGCTACACAAGCTCAGAATAAAACAGCAACAATCCCATTAGCAAGGAGCTACACAAGCTCAAAAACAAAACATCAACAAACCCAGCAGACAGGGGGTAAACAAGCAACAAACTCCAGCTCCTGCAAGCACAAACTCAGCATGCAAGGAGCTACACAAGCTCAGAACGAAACAGCAACAAATCCCAGCTGCAAGGAGCTACACAAGCTCCAAAAACAAAACAACAACAACCCCAGCAGCAGCAGGAGTAAACAAGCAACAAACCCCAGCTGACAGGGGGCAAACAAGCAACAAACCCCAGCTCCTGCTACAGACGGGGTCAACAAGCACAAACCCTTCAACAAAACAGCAACAAACCCTTAGCTTCAGCAGCAGGAGCTGCAAAACTGGGGAAAAACAGGCACAAACCCCATTAGCAAGGAGCTACACAAGCTCAAAAACAAAACAACAACAACCCCATTAGCAAGGAGCTACACAAGCTCTAAACAAAAACAGCAGCAAACCCATCAAACAGGGGGTAAACAAGCAACAAACCCCACCAAGCCCTAGCACAAACCCAGCAACAAAACAACAACAAACCCAGCGACGACAGGAGCTTTCAAACTGAGGAAAAATAGGCACAAACCCCAGCTAGCAAGGAGCTAAACAAGCTCAGAATAAAACAGCAAGAACCCCATTAGCAAGGAGCTACACAAGCTCAAAAACAAAACAACAGCAAACCCATCAGATAGGGGGTAAACAAGCAACAAACCCCAGCTAATGCTAGCACAAACCCAGCAACAAAACAGCAACAAAACCAGCAGCAGCTTGAGCTGAAAAACTAGGGAAAAACAGGCACAAACCCTAGCTAGCAAGGAGCTACACAAGCTCAGAATAAAACAGCAACAACCCCATTAGCAAGGAGCTACACAAGCTCAAAAACAAAATAGCAGCAAACCCATCAGACATGGGGTAAACAAGCAACAAACCCCAGCTGATGCTAGCACAAACCCAGCAACAAAACAGCAACAAAACCAGCAGCATCTTGAGCTGCAAAACTGGGGAAAAACAGGCACAAACCCCAGCTAGCAAGGAGCTACACAAGCTCCAAAAAAGCCAACAACATATACGTGTGCACAACAAAATGCTCCATCCACATGTAATCCAAACCGCACAAATTAGTTAACAGTCCAACCTTGGTCATTAATCAGGTTGGTAATGTACCTCTGCTGACCTTCCTTTCCTTTTATGAAAAACCTTCTAGCTTCACGTTCATTGTCATATAAGTGATCTAAAATCCTATCCAGGAATTCCTCAGAGTATTCATCCCTATGTTCCTTCAACGCTGCAGCCAATTGTTCAGTCCAATGAACAATGTGTTGATTTCTCATGGACTGAGACATTGAGTCAACAAAGGCACATAACATTTCCTCTTCACGATTTGATTTTTTAGGTTTCTTGTTAGAAGATGAATTCATGTTGTCTTTACTCTTAGACTTACATCTAGTTGGTTGTTGTTCGTTACTGGCATCAGATTGTGGTGTACTTCCACTCTCCTCTGGAATTTCACTATCATCTTCAGGAATAGGTATGGACCTACTAGACCCAATGTTAGCATACACAGGCCTAACAAATTCACCCTTAGCTTGGTCATCACCCATGATAGTTTGTAAATTTTTGAAGTGAGGTAGGGGTTTGTTTATGTACGCTTTGAACTTAGATTTGGATTTGTCCTGCAACAACAAATAATCATAAGTTGTGAACCAAATGTATTAATTACTAACAATAATGTAGATGCTGAATGTTATACCTGAGACCACGATTTCAACGTTTCATCATCCAGTGTAATCATATTATTTGTTTCATCCCACCCAGCTCCACTTATATCAAGGCAAGCCTTCATGTCATTGAATTTGTTTCTCAAGCATTTCAAGTGGTTAATGACATGTATATGAGTGAAATCAGTCCTAAATTGCATGTTGATTTTCATCGCTGCCATTTTATAAGCTTCTGCCTTGAAGTTCTTGTCTGGCTTTAGCCCATCTAATACTAATTCTGCAAGATAAGGAATGAGAACGTCATCATGCTCTGGAAGCCAAAACTTATTAGCCACACCTCTTGATTTCAACCTTGCCCCCAGTCCCAATTTCTTATGAGCTAATTTTTTCCCTTTTTTTATTGGTGAAGTATGCTCCTCACAATCAACATCATGAATAACCTTCTCTACTGAATCCCTAGTGTTTGGTGAAAATTGATTGGGTCCACTACTTTGAGAACTAGCTGTGGGAAATAGCAAACCTTGTGGGCTGCTTAACATGCTCATGTATGACATTGGTTGCTGTGTCATTCCACCATAATTAGCATCATATAATGAGAATGGTGAGAATGTATGATGGGGTGAAGAGAAAGGTTGTGGTTGAACAAGCGTGAAGTTCATGTTTATGTTAGCAGCTAGATTTGGCGGAGCATTAGAATGAGAAGGCAGGGGCTACTTATCTGCCTTATTGTTAACCATACCTAATATATATTAAACAAGTAGACATTATTATTAAAGAAAGCAAAATCAATATATAATATGCATGCATTTAGCAATATGCGTTAAAAAAGAAATATACGAAACGCCTATATGTATAGAAACAACATGAAAAGGTCGAAGATGATAATCGTAGAAATGTTTAGTACATGCTAAGAAACATTAAAATGGATAGTTGCGAACAGTAAGAAAATAATACAAGTTATTATATCGAGATAGAATAAACATCACATTAAGCTAAAGCACTTTCTATTGTGTTACCACCATTATACTTTGCACAATAATCCACCCACATCGCCCAAGCAATTTGATCTCGTAGCTCCTTCCATTCATTTCTTGAATCTCGATCCTCTCTCTGTGTCCTAGTTTGAGTATAGTCCACCACACTTGAGTCATCGTCATTGGTCACTTCCCCATTATCTTCATCAATGTCTATATTTTCATTTAAAATATCATCATCTGGATCTTCTATAGCAATGAAATTGTTTAACACGGTACACGCTAGTACAATGTCCACTTGAGTGGGAAATGGATAATTTGGCTTCGCCGATAGTATTTTAAACCGGTTCTTCAATATACCAAATGTGCATTCAATTTTTGATCTTAAACTTGAATGCCTTAAATTAAACAACTCTTTTCTATTCTTTGGTGTCCTACCGGTGTGCTCTTTTAAATGATATCGTACACCGCGATATGGGGATATGAAGCCTGGCATTGTGGTGTATCCCGCGTCACATAGGTAATATTTACCTACATTACAATTAAACAATATCTTCATATAACACACTATTGTCAAGTATTTAATTTTTTCTTAATTGTGAACGAGTAAGAATTAATACCATCATAAACTCGAAGCCTGTAAGGTTGTGGTCTCGACAAAGCATCCTGTAATATCCTATAGTCATTTGCTGCTCCCTCCCACCCAGCTAGGACATAGGTGAATAGTTTATTAGGGGTGCATGCTGCTAGGACGTTTTGTGTCACACCTTTTCTCCCTCTAAAACGGGCAACTAGGTTACTGGGTAATACTGCGTCAACGTGTGTGCCATCTATCATACCAATGCAATCCTATAAAAAAAATATAAGTTATAATATATTCAATAAAATACATATTCACTTAAAACAGATGTTGAGGTGTATGTATTATTTTTACCTTGAAGTAAGGAAAATAATTTGGGTTGTTTGCAATCTCTGCAGGAACTTCATTTGGAGCTTGCTTCATATAGCGATCACGTAACCCATTCATTGCTTGTAGGACTTTATTGAAATACCTACTCACTGTTTCTCCCGATCTTATGAACTCAGTCCTTATTATTCTATTTTTAGTTTTATGCCCCACTATACTCAGGAACATAGCGAGCTCTTCTTCGACTTGTACATGTCTGGAATCCTTTAATAAACAATTTTCTTTCATTACTGTAGCAAGTTTAAAAAAGGCACTCGGTCTCATTCTAATGTAAGACCGACAACTATCACTATAGCCTTCCAATACACGTTTGAAGTGAGCTTCTCTGCAATAAATTTTTTGGATTTTTTTCCTCCTTCGTACAAGATGAAATTCTCTTGCGCTTAGCACGCATTCTCAGAATACATGTTATTATTGTGACCACCGCAGACACAGCTGTATTAGCACACATCCTCTTCAATTGTTCTTCATCTACGTTTTCCATCTAAATCCATTGTAAAATTAGCATATATTTACAACTTAACAGTAATATTGTTTGAAAACTAAAGATAATTAAATAACTAATAAAAATATTAAAATCATAAAACCATATATCTACATATCCACAAATATATATAAAGTAGTGAAACTTTCATTTCCTATTTTGCATCTTGAGCATGCACGCTGATCAAACAAATGTAATTAAGTTTTCCTTTCCATGGTTTAGTCATTTGAAATTCTACAACAACAACAAGCTCAGAGAACCAAAGCTCACTAATCAACTATATACCAAAACCCCACAGACAAATAGATGCCAAGCAGTTGCGAATGAAACCCCACTAACAAATAATTCTAATAAAATCAGTAATAAACTATATACCCACATCAAACAACCACCGAACAATACCCTTGTTTCAATAATTAAACATATACCAAATTCAATAATTCCACTACCAATGTTACTTTAATCAGAGCAAGCACAATTAAATAATCAAATTAAAAGGGTTAAATTGATTTATACCTGCAGATGCCAAGCTGTTGCGAAGGGAAAAATTCAGAAATTGATGTCGTTACCAACAAACCCCACCGGACGGAACAACCAGCAAACCGAAGAACCCAACAATATCAAAGATCAGCGGGAGAAGAACAGCATAAAAAACCCAGAAATTGATGTCGTTACCAACAAACCCCACCAACAAAGATCAAAATCGAAGAACAGCGGACAGCGGGAGAAGCCGAGCCCAAAATCTAGGGCAAATCCACAAACCGAAGAACCCAACAACAAGATCAAATATCAGCGGGAGAAGAACAGACAGCAAGCCCAGAAATTGATGTCGTTACCAACAAACCCAACCAACCAAAAACAATATCGAAGAACAGCGTACCAACAAACCCAACCAACCAAAAACAATATCGAAGAACAGCGGATCGCGGGAGAAGCCGAGCCCAAAATCTAGGGCAAATCCACAAACTGAAACCCAAATAATATCGAAGAACAACGAGAGAGGAGGCGCGAAGGAACTTGGGAGAGGCAGGAGAAGAAACGCCCAGTTGCGATTCCAGAGCTAGGGTTCGTAATCGAGAGGATTAGGAATCAGAAAACAAAAACAGTGGCAAATGTCAGATTTCTCGCTCAAATCCTCTCCCCCCCCTCCGATTTCGGTTTCTTAAAAAAACCACGACTGTAGCAACTTTATGAAATACGTAATCCATAAATTTTTCCCCAGCCAAACTCTAGATTAGGATTCACAAAGATTCCATAATTTACAATTTTGCCACTGTCAGTCCCCTAATACTAATCCTTTTCTATAAAAGTATGAAACAAACAGCCCCTTAGTTCAACGTGTGTTTTTATGTTACAAGTGTGATCTAGTTTTATATTAGGAAAACAGTTGGATATTCATATGTTAAATATGTTTACACTAATGACTCAATCAAGGACTGGTACTTTGGTGTATGCGATGAGTACAAGAAAAAGAACTATGAGGGTGTTTCAGTTTAATCTTTGCAAAATTGAAACCATTTAAGTTGAATATTCTTCTAAATATTAGGGCATTTCTTATTTTATTTTTTTAGAGAAAGTATTAGGGCATTTCTGTTGTTTTTTTTTTTTTGCAAGTGCAAGAGTATTTCTTCTTCTTTTTTTTTTCAAGTGCAAGGTTATTTCTGAAATTTCTGGAAATTTGGCGCACAAACCAAAAGGAAGAACTTTTTTAGATAGTATATAATATAGATTAATCTTATTGGAGCCAATTTGAGTCCAAATAGATTAGTCTAGCCATCTCGTTAATGGGCATTTTGATGCACTGTTTTTTTTTAACTGAAAAACACGGTGAGGTACCCTATTACTAAGATATATTATATAAGGATATTTAAAAGAAGTCTGATACAAAAACAAAAACCAACAACAAAGCCGAGAGGTAAGAACACAGTAGGGAAGTTGGTAAGGAGCGGACCTAGTCGTCACCTACCGAACTAACACTAACAATGTTCTCACCCAAGGCCAAAAGAAAAACACACTAGATACTATGTAGTCTGAGGTCTAATACATCAAGGCCCCAACACAGTAAAAAAGAAAAAGCCAACATTAGCCATATCCTACTCAAAACACAGTGAGAACTAGGGCAGAGAGGAAGACTTGCCGCATCAACTAAAATCAGAGAGATTGTCCCCGAAAGCTCTAGCAGTACCCTTCATGGCGATTTCTTGCATTTTTAGATTTTTAGCAGCCCAACGAACACGCCTCGCCAGTCTATCTTCTTCGGCCCTTGTCCAGAACATGACATACCTAGTAATGTTAGCAGCGATATTAATAGGATTTGCAGGGAAATCTCTAAATATGAGATAATGTCTACAACTCCACATCTGCCAGCAGAAGCACGGAAACAAATAATTCCAAATAACTTTAATATCATCACAAATATTTGGATCCCTGTATAAGAGAGTCAGCTCCTCCATAGATTGGGGCCATCTAGCAAAAGGGGCATGAGGAAGAAGGGTATACCAGACTGCTTTGGCAAAAGGACAGAGGATAAATAGATGGTCATGAGTCTCAACCTCCTGGTTGCAATGAGGGCAGTGGGGATCTCCTAACCAGCTTTTGGAGATCAAATTTACCCTGGTGTTGAGTTTCTATTTAGATATGATCAAGAACAATACTCTAACCTTCAGAGGGATATGAGATTTCCATATGAAATTGTGAATATGAGACTTAACCCCACCAGAGGTGATGATGGTGTATAGAGATTTGACTGGATATAAGCCAGAAGGATGATAAGGCCACCATAAACTGTCTGGATTAGTATTATTAGCAACTGAAAACCCTTCCAAGAGGGTTAGGAGATTATCAATGCCCCTTTTATCTTCATAGGTAATACCCCTTCTGAGAATGGGGTGCCAATGCCAGTTAGATTGGTGGATATATCCTTGGGAAAGAACAGAGCTGCAAGAAGAGAATGCAAGATGATATGCTTTTTGAAAAAGACTACTAAGAGAGTTGTCATTATTCCACTTATCAAACCAAAAATTATAAGTTTTACCGTCACCCACCTTCCATTTAACCATGTTGAAAAAAGAGAGATGAATAGAGTGCAGGTCTTGGATGAATCTGGATGCAGATTTTTTTGGAGGGTGCACAAAAGGGTTGGAGTTATCTTTAGAGTAGAGAGAGAAAATAACTTTACTAATGAGAGAGTTTCTATCAAAAGCTTTCCAAAACCACTTGGAGAGAAGGCAAAGATTGAAGGAAGAAATATCAATAACCTCCAGCCCTCCCTCTGACTTAGACCTGCAAACAGTAGTCTAGTTGACCAGGCATTTGGATTTAGCCTAGATATGACTACCGTTCCATAGAAAGTTCCTCCTGATTTTATCAATAGCCTTAATGACCCATGCAGACAACTTGAAGAAGGACATGTAGTAGAGAGGGATAGAAGAGAAGACTGAATTTAGGAGAGTGAGTCTGCCACCAATAGAGAGGGATTTGTTCTTCCAGAGAGAAAGTTTTTTCATTAAAGAGTCCAGGAGGGGTTGCCACTCTCTTCTAGTCAGAGAGCCTCTTTTGAGAGGTAAACCAAGGTAAGTGAAAGGGAGTGAGCCAACAAAACAGTTAAGGATGGAAGCTAGTTGGGAGCTTTTGAGAGGAACTTTACCAAGGTAAAACAAATTAGATTTATGAGGGTTAACGTACAGCCCAGAGATACTGGCAAAGAGAAATAGGATGGTTTTGAGAATGGTCATATCAGTGGGAGAAGCCCTGCTGAAGATGATGGTGTCGTCAGCGAACTGGAGAACTCTAATGGAATTAAGCTCACCTTTTAACTGAAGATCAGATAAATCTCCCGAAGCTGCACTAGTAGACAACATCTTGTTCAAAACATCAACTACTATCAAGAATAACATGGGGGATAGGGGATCACATTGTTTAAGGCCCCTAAAGCATCTAAAGAAGATAGAAGGGGTCCCGTTAACTAAAACAACAGATTTAGATGAATGAAGAATATGGTGGATCCAAAGGCACCATTGAGGGCCGAAACCTCTGGCTTGAAGGAGAGAGATGAGGAAGTTCCAATTGACACAGTCAAAAGCCTTGAAGAAATCTAATTTAATTGCACAAATCTCTTTCTTACCAGAGGAACAATAGTTAATCATCTCATGGGCAAGGAGAACAGAGTCCAACGTGGATTTCCTTGACTGAAAGGCTGATTGAGAGTTGTCCACCAACAGATACAAGAAGGATTTCAGTCTGTTAGCAAGGACTTTAGAAAAGATTTTACATAAGCTGTTGTGAGGCTGATGGGCCGGAAATCTTTGGGGCTGTTGGCACCATCCTTTTTAGGGATGAGGCAAAAAAAAAGGAATAATTGATGTTGTGAAGGGTTTGAGGGTTGGAGTGGAGAGCTTGAATAAAGGAGATGACGTCTGTATAAATGGTACTCCAGAATTTCTGGAAGAAGAGAATGGGGAGCCCATCAGGCCTGGGGGCCTTGTCTAGGTGAAGGTCGAACACTGTTGCAGAGATTTCCTCTTGGGAAAAAGGACGGTCAAGAGAAGAGAGATCTATGTTGCTATGTGGGTAAAGACGATCCTAGTCCTCTGAGCATGGATTAAAACTCAATTTGATTAGTCTGATCTATCTATTTTCATGGGCCTTTAAAATCATGTTCGCGTTCTTACAAATGCAAGCAAACAAACTATGCATACAAGTTGATGAGACAATATATCTGATCTTCTCCTTGGCTGAGCTGACCTTTTGGAGATAATGTCCTTTTCTTCAATCTATTCATGAAGTGGTCCTGAAATTTGGATTCAGAGCCAACTTGACTCGTATTGGGCAGGACCACTTTGTTATTAGTCTGGTAACTGAAATTCCACTTACATCCTTGTGTGATTAACTACGAGCTTGAGTAATATTGCATCCTTTGCTTGGCTAAGATGGCAAAAAGGCATTACGAATACAGGGGGGTGGCGTGCCCACGAGTCATGACGGTGTTTGCTGGTGTGTTCCTCGATAGTGTTAGATGAGTTGTTATAACACGATAGACATCTAATCATTAGCTATGATCTTAATATGTTGATGATATAAATTGCATGATAAGAACATGTGTCTTATCATTGTTTACTCTCTCCAGATATATGTCGAGGTCACTCCAATATTCTTTTGATCCTAGTGATGTTAATATGTCACATCTAGTTCATTTGTGATAACCCATGTACACGCATCACTCCAATAAGGAGCTAGAGTGACATAGCATTCCATGTATAGTATACTCCAAGCATGTGTACGATAATACGTATATGCTTGTGAATGTAGGCGCAAGTGTGTATCTGTGTATACGTGCATATATATGTATGCACTTGTCAGTGTGTGTGTACATATGTGTCATGTGCATTTGTTTGTGTACACTTGTATGCGTGTGCGTGTATGCATGAATGCATGTGTACATGCATATACAATATTAAGATGCATACACATGTATAAGTTTGTTTGCTTGCATGCATTTATCTTGGGGCGGAGTTATATATTGTACCCCTAAAATTTTTATTATTAGCATGTAAAGTCTAGTAATATTTTTAGGTAAATAGATACTTATTGTCCACCCATCCAAAAAGAAATTTCAGGGTCCGACATTGCCTTTTCTCTCTCTCTTTGTGCATGTATATGTGCATGCATACATGCGTGATCTAATGACAAATTAGATCTCATGCACTTACATATTGATGCATATTTTATCAAAAAAATTTCAACAAAGAATCCTTTTTTTTATTGACTTTTACTCCTATATCTGGTAGTGACGAAAGGAAATATTTTCTATTAATATAACTAAAAGAAGTTCATAACCCATTAGTTAAAAAATTATAAAAACGAATCTACAACTCTCTTTACTGAGCGAGACTAATTTGATAAATTCTGTTTTTAGAAGTCTATCATATTTGATAGAGTAATGGTACATGGACCCAAACCCATGGGACATGGGAGGGGACATGTGAGGTGTCACCTCCCCATTGCTCCATGCACTGTTCATGAACAGTGCATGAACAGTGCATGGAGCAATGGGGAGGTAACACCTCACATGTCCCCTCCAATGTCCCATGGTTTTGGGTCCTTAGGGAATTTCCCTATTTGATATTCAATTAAGACGAATAAAGCGACCTACTCAATTTCATAATGTATCATTCACTATGATGGATGAACATAAGTAACTTAGTTGTTCCGTACGAGTATTAGTCTCATAAGGAATGGTATTCTTAAAAACTTACCACATTTTTAGAGTGAACTTATTAGTTTTCTTGGGATCATGCTTGGAACCGAAATTTCCTCCAGTAGCACAACATGGAAAGGAAACTTGATCATTGCTCAACTGTGTGATCATTAACTTAAAATTAATTAATTCGATATACATGTATACATCACGGAGCTCTGACTGGGTTGTTAACATATAAGTTTGGATTTTCTATGTAAGAGCTAGTTGTTCATAAATGCAACAAATTCTTCATATGGATTGGGCCGCCATACGAGATAACAGCTCAAAACGTCTGCTTTCGTTGCTTTGTCACTCGGGCCCATAATTTTAATTTATCTAATATAAGGTACTCTTTCCTCGCATGCGTAAAAGAATTTTTGATTATTTCGGTATATTCTGATTTATTTACATACTGTTTTTGTCGTCTTCATTGAGTTTGGTTTCAACATCACAACCAGAGGACTCTTCTTAAGAAAATTAATTATCATTTTTGTAACCTTCGTATATTTTGATCGGTCTTAACCTTCTTAATGTTGCTCTAACAAATACCAATCTTTGTTACGTATGGACTTGAGGAACGTTATCAGTATACCTGAATTTTTTTTATAAAAGACAGTCGATCTCTTCTTGGAATGTCCAGAGCCCCACACTTTGCATCGAGGGCAAAATTGTACTTTACAAATTGTGTTTACTCATGATATTTCAACTAGTAAGTGAACATACCAAAATTGTAATGTTTTCTTTTACAATCAGGAGAAAA